CCTCGTGTCCCCCCGCGGGCCTGGGCGCCGGTTCCCGCGGCGCGTCCTCCCGCAACGCAGAGCTGGGCGTCCGGAGTCGCTGAAGGGGCTCCTCGGGTCTTGTATCCCAGCATCTTAGTGGAGCGAAGAATAAAAGGTTATCCCAGGCAGCTCGAAAGTTAGAAAATAAAGGCAAGCGAGGCTCGGTCCTTTGTAGATAGACACTGGGAAGTAAGGGACAGTTTTGAATCCGGGGGTGACTGCTCGGAAAACGTTGAACCACAGCAGTTTGGAAAATGCAGATTTAGGAAACCATTTTAACATACAGATCTAAAGAAGATTATGAAATGAATTTTAAAGTATTTGTGGTTCATTGTTCCCCACTTTAGAATTAGGGTATTGGGAATTATATGAAATGAACTTTAGAGAACTGGAGGACAGTCCCCACGCGCTCCTCCCTTCCATTTTTTGTGAAAGCACTTTTGTGGTCCCTGCCCCAGGCTATACAGGTTCATTTCAGACCATGATACAGATGGAGATAAACTATAGTTTTCGTTATAGACAGAGGGGAAGAGAGAGAGAGGACCGAGTTGGCAACTACCTATAAAATGTAATTTAAGGAAGACCTCCCCTAAATGCCTCCGAAACAATACGAAGTTTCACATTTAAAAACCATTTGCTGTGGACAAAGGTTTTGTTTTCTTGAGTAAATAAACATAATTTTAACATAAACTGAGCACCTACTATGGACCAAGCACTGCACTGAGAGTATTTCCAATTCTACTCCTTTATTTATTCTTATAAAAACTCTCCTGAAATTGGTAATGTTGTTGCTATTTTTTATAGAGAGAAACTGGGCTAAGAGTTTGCTGGGCTGGATTTACATCTCAGATTGAGTGGCAGAGCAGGCATTGCAACCTGGAATTTTTGACTGGTGCCGTTCCACTAGAAAACCTCTAGGAAACATACACAGAACTTTATCATGTCCATGACTGGCACGTGAATGTTTTTTCTCCCTTTATGACTGGGTTTTGTGGTGCAGATAGGGGCCCTTCAGTATCTAAGGTGGACATCACCCTTAAGTCAGAAATAGGGATCAGAAGGAAGAGACTGGAGTTCGCTCAGAACTAGCCTAAAAACGTCAATGTCAAAAAATGTACTGGTAGGGTCATATGAGGGTAAGGAGGAATTCCCCTTTACCTTTTTGTTAATCGTTTTCACTATCATTTACACTGTATTGCACTTTATACTACACTTAAACTGTTATTCCCATGTTATATGTTACACGTTACACGATTATTTTTCCAACTTGTAAGTTTTAAATGGATCTAAAATCATATGCTTTATCAGAATTTAGAGAAGTTAACAGGGCCTTAACAACTTTCACATCACCTTAAGGAAGCTTTTTGAGAAATAAGAAATAAAATTAAATTGTTACCCTACACGGTGCCATTGTTATTATGTTAACTTTTATTACAAATGCTCCCACTTTAGTACCAAGCAACAGAAATCCCAGGGCTCCGTGTTGCTGAGAAGCAGAAGCTCTAAATTCCCAGGGAAGCCAGGCAGCCTTAACTCCCGCCAGGATGGCATCAGCCTCAGAAACGTGTGGTTCTTCCCTCCATGCATAGTAGTTTCATTTTAAAGGAGACAACAAAGGAACAGAATTGGAGTAGGTGGACAAGATGCCTTTTGAATTAGTATTTTCTGTCTGGTTTACAGGGACATAAGAAAAGAGGATTAGGTCTTGGGTGGTCCACCTGAGACAAAGCCGGGATTTTGAACCTTACCAGTTACAAACCTGATAGACTGCTGACATCTCCAGCCATCTATGTGAATAAGTTGACATTACTAGAGGGTATGTTTCTGAATGAAGGACAGGGACATTTTGTGCCAGTAGCCTTGAAAAACTGTCAAAAGCAATCAAGGGAATAGTGTGGTGCCTGCATTCCCTGCTCCCCCGGGGACAGAGTCTTCCAATGGTTTTGAGCCCCTTGAGGAAGGAAATTAGGGCCAGAAACTGAGGAATCATTTTCACAAATGACTTTGTGGGATTTAGGGTCTAGGAAGTACTATTTTGGGCCTGGTGACAAAGTACAGCACAGAGGGTCATTCTCTCACCCAGTCTGCCATAGATTTCTGTGCAGCCTCACCACCAATACAGAAAGGCTCTGCCCAGTGAAGGCATATTCTCATAAAGGACACTGGTGACCAATACAGGGTCGAGATAACATGACTAGGAGCATACAGCAATAGAGCATGAGGGGGATTGTTCCTGGGCACCTGGGAAACACAGCTGAGGATTTCCTGTCATAATGAGGGAGCGTGGGTAGGGGAAGATGAATGTTAAATTAAGATGATTGTTAAACATCATCTAAGCAGTGATATTAAGAGTCTAATTAGGACAGCATCAAATTTGTGTATTTTTAGAAAATTCACATATTTATAAATAGTAATAGACTTTTCCATTTGTTTATACTCTGTCTGACATTTCCCAAGGATGTTTTTATAGTTTTGTTCATCTCTGTTCTGCACTTTTCTTATAAATTTATACAAAATTATTTTCTAGTATTTGTCTTCCCAATGAAATATCCTTCCCACTTCCTTTTCTAGGTGCTTTTGCCTGAATAGAGAGAGATTGGTTATTTCTGTAGTTTATTTTGTAATCACCCATCCACACCAAATCCTCTTATTGTTTTTTTCACAAGAGATTCTTAGGCTTTCTATAAAATAAAATAAATAATCACCAACATCAGGGACTTTATCTCTTTTTCCATTATTTATACTAGTGATTGTTTACATTGGCTAGAATCACCAATACAAGTGATTATAGTGATGCCTGTATGATTCCTGGTTTTAAGTGAAAGATTTAATTCTTGCCATTTAAAATAATGCTTGATAGTGGGCTTTTTTTTTAACTTCAGAAAATCTTTCTTTAATTGAATTTTTTGGAGTGACACTGGTTAACAAAATTACATAGGTGTATAGGTTTCAGGTGTACAATTCTATGATACATCATCTATATATTGTATTATGTGTTCACCACCCCAAATCAAGTCTCCTTCCATCACCACTTATCCCCCATATACCCCCTTCTACCCCCCTACCCCTGTGTTTTTCTTTATTTTATTGGTAAAAGCCTGCTGCTCCTATTTTGCTTCGAGCTTTCTGTGGCAGGAGTTGCTGGACCTTTATCTGATGTCTCTTCGACACTCACTGGTAATGGTTGGGCTATTTTCCGTTTAATTTTTAATGCAATCAATGTGTAGACAGACTTCCTGGTTGGAAGTGCCTGTTTTGTCACAGCATATTGCTCGTTTAATGCATTTCTCTATTGCATCGTCCAGTGCATTATGTAAACATTCAGGATCAATAGTCATAGGCGAAATTGGCCTGCACTTTCCATTGTCATTGTTGTTGAATTCCCTCTTTGGCTTTGGTATTTGAGGTATCCTGTTTCATAAAATTAACTCAAGAAGTTTCTCTCTTTTTCTGAGACCCGCAATAGTTTAAATGTTATTGGAATTATCTATTATTCTTTAATGATTAGATTAAAAATTCAACTGTGAATCCATCCATCTGCTGTTTTTTCAGTAGGAAATCATTTATCACTTCTCCAGTCTCTTCTATAATAATTGGCCTATTCAACTTTTCACTAATTCTGGGCCATTTGTGATACTGTATATTTTGCAAGGGAAGTATTTAGTTCTTCTAGGTTTTATTAGTTTAATGTACTCTCCAGAGTCACCTTTAGTATTTACTTAGAATTCTTTTCATCTTTTTCCTACTTTCATATCGTTGATCTTGTCTAATTTTTATTTTATCCCCTTTTCCTAATCAGGCTGACATGATATGTATCTATTTTTATTGGTTTTTTAAAGAATGAGTCTTTATTATTCGTTTCTGTTGTTTCATCTATTCTAATAATTTCAGCATTTAACGATATTAATTCCCTCTTCAAATTTTCTTTTGTTTTGTTTTTGTTGTTCTTACTGGATTGATCAAGATAAGTACTTTATCCCTTTATTTTCTGCTTTCACATTTTCCTCTGCGTTGTTTTGCTGTTCCCCATTCTCTTAGTATAAAGTGTTTGTTTTTCCAATGCTTCTAGGCATTCCCATATTTCTCCTTGCTAAAGTCCGAATGTTTGTGTCCCCACCTTCCCCCTCTTCCCAAATTCATATGTTGAAATCCCAACCC